TCTAGCCAAATGCCATTTAGCGCTTGTCTACTTGTAGAATAGAAAAGTAAATTTTAACACTTTTCAATGTCATCCCCATACATTTAGTTTTCTACTCTCTCTATAGAGAAGCGTTAAAGTGGCGTTTGGCTAAAGTCACTGGTTTGACAAGAATATAGGCAGAGAAGATTAAGTCTGAAGTAGCCTTTTTAGTTAGTTGAAGTATTATTGTGCCGTTACATAATCCGGGTGATTACTTATACTGAAACTGTAAATACGAATACTTTATTCTTAACACTTTCCTTCATCATTGCTGTAGATTTAATAACCGCATTCGATATCAAGCTACATTTTTATACGCGCAATATTATTATTAAACCGAAAAAATACCTCATTATCTTTGAATTTTGTTTTCTTAACGGAACAAAATATACAGTACCTATATTATACAATTTATTAAGTCAATGTCGAGAGTATGAAAATACAAAATACATATTATATAATGTGTAATACAGTTACCATATTTTTTTAAGACAGAGAAAGTACAAAAATATCATATCCATAGTATTTTTTTCTGTATATTTTCTTATTGACTCGCGCGGTTTCTCACTGCTTGGCACTTATCAAGATTTAATATCTAGAGGTACTATGACATTCATAAATAAACTATCTTTTACAAAAATATTAAGGATGATGACGGGGTATGAAAATTTAAAATCTGTTTTGTCCGTAAGTTAAGTAATGAAATAAAAATAATATTACGCAGGTATTTTTTTATTTTGTTGTACAATAAAACAATACTTAGATAAAATGAATCAACGTTTGAGTGGTGGCTAAAACGTCATTTCTACGTATAAAATGTACATAGAAGTGACGTCACGCGATATTTAAAATCAATATATCGTCGAAAGTATTCGTTTCTGTAAGAAAATAAAAAATACATGTCTAATGTTTTAAAATAATCTACCAGACGGACATTAAAATAAAAATTAGGTATCTACCCTATTGTTAAATTCAAACCATCTTTTTCAGCTTTATAACTATAAAATAACATAATTTTAATAGCATAAGTCGGTAAACGAGCAGACGAATCACCTAACGATAAGCAATCGGCACGGCCCATAGATCTATACCCGAAGCACCAGAGGCGCTACAAGTGCAGTCACTCACACAACGCAAGCATATACATACATAGAAAGTATACCACTATTATATCGACCGAGCGAAGTTGTTAAGAACAGGTTTCCTAGCACAGATTTGAGGGTGCTTACCTCTGCATCGTACTGAGTGATGACAACCCTAACGACTTTGTAAGACCGAAGCACTTACTTCTGTAACACCTCGCTTCTTGCTTGCCTTGCGTGGTAACAAATAAAAAGGTGTCGATTTTATAACTTCATTTTTAAATGTCCGTCTGGTAGATTATTTTAAAATATTAGACTTCTTATTTTTATGTTCTTACAGAAGTATAGGTATACTTTCAACGAAATATTGATTTAAAATATTGCGTGACGTCACTTCTAGGTAATTCGTAACGTCCTTTGGCCAACGAGAACTAAATAACTTTTTCCATAAATTGATGCTGAATCTAAAATAATTTACATCAAACAAAAGCATCAAACACGATCCCAAAAGACCAGTAGAACTTTGCCAACGTATTTTTCAGTTACAACACCTAGATCGAGGTTCTAATTAAAATTGGCATGCTGATATTGGATGAAATTACTTTACCGAAGATAAATTATAATTCTAAGAGACGCCGCAGGCTAGTTAGAAAATTCGGTAAACAAGATTCGATCAATGGCTGGGAACGAAGCAACTGCTGTTCAATTATGGACTTTTTGCGGACGTCAGAAGTTTCAATATTTGTTGTAGAACCTATTGAAAATGTACGGCTGTTATTGTTTTACGTTCTTACTCCTTGCGTTGTGTGAGGAATAATTAGGAAGTTTTACGAATTTATTCAGTAAAACAATGGAAAAATATAATCCTTAGCAATAATCACATCCCATTCGTAAAATTATATAAAAACTTATTTCAAGTTCATTCATTGACTTTTCTATCCAACACATTCTGCGATTAATTTTCACTTATCAAGAAACAACGTAGTATTCCTTTTATTCATCGAGACAAACTTCATAAACAGGTTTAAATTATCTTTTTACCTTAATTTTCTACATTCTCAGATAAGTCTTATTAATTATCAATCGTCATCAACAGCCATCGTCAACAACATCGTCATAAGTGGCCACTGCTGATCTTTTCGCACGGAGAATGTTTGAGCACGCTTACTCAATGCGGGTTGGTGATTTCAAACTTATATAATAATAATTAGAAATTATAAGCCCAGGCTTCCGATGATTTTGTTCACCGGTTGTCAATGGTGTCTAGATAATCTTAGAAGGATAGATAACTCGGATAAAGCCACATTGGTACTAGCAGTTGGTAGGTTTCGAATCCGCACTCCCATTCATGAGAAGCAGGCGTCTTAGACCGTATTATCTTATTACTTACCACTTAATATTCAAGTTGTATTACATGGATGTACGTACATTATTCCCACTACTTATTGTCCAGTTATTATAGTTGTATAAGTGATTAGGAGCTTCCTAAGAAGTGATAGGTATTTTATGATAGGAATTAACATAGATCATTGTGCAATCAAAATTGCTACTTGAACTGTCTTTATAAGGATCAATTTAACATCAACAGTGATATTGAATGAGGCCAGTCAAGCGACTACCGCACGCCAACCGAGGCACAATGTGTACTTTATCGTGTACTAAATAAAGTTGTATTTTGTGTCGCTTTTTTAAAGTATGCGCGCAAATTCGCGTCTTGGTGTTGGCTGAAACTTAGGTTAACAGTTTTAATTCTAGATCGTGAAATGTATACGTACTTAAGCTATAATTAAATAGACGTAGTTGAAAAACTTAAGTGACTTACCTACGTTTGATCGTCTTCATTCATAGTGAAGTTGTTGGGTGAAAAAGCGTGATCAAAATCCTTAGTCATTTTTTTTCTATCTCATAATACTATTGAATGACAAATTATAAATAAGTTTTAAATTCATCAGTAACGTTAGACTAGGTTTAGAAGGAAGTGCAATGTACTAACAACTTAATTATGAACTGAAAAAGACACGAAATATCTTTTCATTTAACAATCAATTTGCGGTATAATATGAACTATACTATCGGTATTGTTATTTTGACTGAATTTTAACAAGATGTTTGTTCTACACCCATTGTTATTATTCATGACTTGCCTAAGGGATAGAGTTTCCTTATCATCGATAAGATGTAACAGTTTTTTGACCCAGTAACTATTTATAAGGTAATTATTATATGTTTTTATAATAACTATCGTGAGACATACTAAATCAAGTAAAAACGCGGGTTACTCACGTGGATATACTGAGAAAAGCTCTACGGCAGTGAGCTGCGCGACGTCGCCGCGACCGCGCACGCTGCTCATGAGGAAGAACCCCACTGTGGTTCGAAACTAGTAGAGCTTTTCTCAGTATATCCACGTGAGTAACCCGCGTTTTTACTTGATTTAATTATTATATGTTAAATTTCGAACTAAAATATTACTCATAATCGCGTCACGTTTAATGTTGGAACATTTTTTAAAAATACGTAAAGCCACTTTCAAATTAAAACACGAGTAAGCATCGAATATTTTAACACACCTATTTCTATACAAGAATTGAAATACAAACATCAAAATTCAGTTTAAAATCACAAAAGCCGACGGCCGATAAAACGCGTAAATTTGAAACATAAATGAATAGTTTCAACTTCAAATGTTATTTTAGTATTTTCTCTTTTGCCCAAACTCAGTTGTTCGAGTTTCAACAATAGTAGGTACAAGCTGGAGAGTTTCATATCAAAACTAACCCACTTTCATTAAAACAGATGAAAGTTATCGCAACAAAGGGTCCCGTACCTTTGATAATTAAGGTATAACACAACACATTATCGGTGGGTATATACCATAACAACGTATAATTCATAGAATTTCACCTAACGTGAACATATACATATAATAGTATACAGAACCCCAATTCGTTGGTCTTCAAATCCCAACGGCAACGCCCATGTAACATGTATCTTTTGGCGATGCGGGTGATGTGGTGGCGCTGATTGCTTACCATCAAGTGATTCGTTTGCCAGATTAACCCATAAAGACATGGTAAATGAAGTCAAACTAAATGGATAAAACACAACTGGAGCCATTGTATTTTTACTTTTTTTATTAGCTAAGATCTGTTATGACCTATTTGTACACGCAGTAATTTATTTACAAAGGGACTTAATTCTACACCAGCGCCTTTAGGGATACAAATCTTCCCAGCGATCGACAAAACATTGTTTACAAAACAAAGTCCGGATAATTATGTAAAAATCGGGACATAAATGAAATCAATCCATTCTTTGTAAGCATCGTATCAAATTACCTCTTTATAGGATTTTTGTGATATTTTCCCCCTGGTTTGTGCCCTTAGGGAATATGAAGAAACAAAAGCTATCCGAGTTTGGTAACAGGGGTACAACGGTCCCTGACTGCACTACGAATTCATTTGTTCCTGAGATTAATTTATTAAGACGTATGGTCAACTGAGTTGGACCTTCCGAATAACTAATTCATAGATAGTTACCGCCCTGAGGTTTGCTAAGGATTGTAATAATATATTATTTTCTGCGTAACTCCTACCAAGAGTTTATAATTAGATACTTCATCGGCTGAACTAGATTGTTTACTCTATAGTATATCTCTTTCCATACTTGTCCTGTATCTATAAGAATAGAAACCGTTTACTTCCCTATTTTTATATATGCTTTTTAGCCATGGTCGTCCTACTGGGCAAAGGCCTCAGTAGCCTTCTTCACTCGTCTCTTCTTATAGCTTTCTGTGGCCAATCCTTTTCATAAACAAGTGAAACAAGTGAATTTATTTCTGCAAATAGGCTACAAGGCAGCACTTTTCGTTACGTCACACGTCAAAATAGTCAGTCATCATAGTCCAGCGTCCAGTTCATCAAGCCATCTCCTTCTGGACCTACCGCGACGTCTAATGACGTTGAGTGGGCTCCACTCAGTAGTGAGTTTTGCCCACCGCTCGTCTGACATGCGGCAGACATGACCATACATACTTCCCAAAACTCAATATTATTCTGTTACCTTAATCAATAATAGAACTTGACATGTGCGTCTGCTTGTAATAATTCAATCAAAAGGACATTCGATTCATGATTTCAGGGAAAATATGACGAACATTGAAACTTCATAAAAAGAATTCTTATAAGATAATTTCACCGGCGCATATTTCGTGAGCTTGTTAACATTTTGCGAAGAGTGTTTTTGTCAACGATTTCGAGAATTTTCCAAAAATATTTAAAGGTTATATTTGGCTTGAAGCGAAGCTTCCTTCACTTGACATTGGCACCATGTTCCGTGCCTTGAGCCCTTGAGCTTATTCTGAGTACTGAGTATGTGAATTGTCTTTATGTTAACGATCGAGTTTAGCTCTCAACTTGTAGCAGCCAATTAGGGCGCCGAACGTCAAAAACGCGTCGATCGCGTTAACGTAAAACAATACTAGTACTAGGCTGTTAGGCACTCTGGTGTAGTTACTGTTTTTTGTTAGTTACAAACATAACATCACGCCTTTTATCCCCGAAGGGGTGGGCAGAGGTGCACATCATACTACTGTACAATGTAACACCCACTTTTCACTATTTATGTTATGAGTCCCATGTAATAGGAAGTGAGCCTATTGCCATATACCGGGCACAATTCCAGACTCCGTGCTACTACTGGGAATATTTAAAAAAAACCCAGTAATACTTTGCCCGACCCGGGAATCGAACCCGAGACCCCTTGCCCGGCCGTCGCAATTGCGACCACTCGGCCAACGAGGCAGTTTGTTAGTTACTGGGTTGCAAATATTCCTCACTAGCTTCTGCCAGTGGCTTTGCCCGCCGCCTTGCTTTGGGGTAAAAAATAGTCTATATGTTATTCCAGATCATAATCTACCCCAGTACTAAATTTCACCTCGATCCCTTCAGCCATTTTGACGCGAAAGAGTAACAAACACACACACATACATCCTCACACACTTTTGTAATATTAGTACGAAGTTGGACTTGTAAATTATAGTTTCGAGCCATTAAACCCATCAGGTCCAAGCGGAGGGTCACACTTTCCAAACACCTGGTCCACCACACAGCTCTCGTGACCACACACGATATAACCAAGTTTACACCAGGAGAAGGTACCCACTACACAATTTATACGCTTTTTGTTGGTTGTACTTAGTAGAACGTATTTTGTAGGTTGTTCAAATCAAGCTCCTAGAGTAACATTATAGTTAGCTAAACTAAGAAACCGAAAAAAGAAAAAAACATCACATTAATATTACTTTAACTTTGTTTGTATATTTGAATGTTTGTCCGTCAACCATGCTGAAACTACTGAACGGATCTTGTTGACAGGGTGTGGGCTGACTTAGGTAATAGCATACTTTTTATCCCAGTTAAATGCTCCTATGGTAAAAACAGGAATCATATTCTACGCGGATAAAGTCGCGGGCAGCAGCAAGTAAGAGAGTAAATAGAAACAACAAATATTATGAAATATATATTTCCAAAATACAAAAATAAAATGATTTATAAAAATCATTTACAAAATATATGATTTAATAATGCTATACATAACAATACTAACTTTGTTTGGTTGACATCAACCACATTTTATGTTTCATAATCACAGTTAAGAAAATGGTTTAATCTGAACTCAAGCATCTATACAATACGCCTTCATTTAAATAGGATAAAAGACAGTGTGTATGATTTTTATCACAGACCCAACCGCTACTATATGCTAAAAATTGGCAACACCATATTCAATTCTTGCGCTAAAATATAAACAATATTTGGCGTAATTTTTTTACAATTGATTACGGCGGATCAAATTAATTACGAGGACACTAAACTTACAAAATGAACATAATATCGTCTTTAAACTGTCAAACACTGTGAGGACACTGGTGTCCGCACACCTATTGTTCTTTAATTGTAAACCAAAAGCAAAAGCATCAAGATAGTCAATTAAAAAAAATCAGGCAGCCAAATCCAATTTTAAAAAGTCCCGCCTCAACCTGAATCCGCTGTTACTAACGCCATCTATTGGCACAATAACCTTCAATTTATATTTTTTTACGCATTCAGCTAATAAATAGTATTGTTTGCATTGTATATAGGTACAGACATTTAGGCCTTCGTTTGAAAATTAAATAACAGTTTAACTGTCGTTATGTTACTTCTCTTTAAGATATCTTTAAAGATTTTAAAAGTAACGGCTTTTAATACTGCGTTTTGTAACTGCATTAACCGTTACTGCAAATATCAAAATAAAATTGTGCTTAATGAATCAATAACTTCATTCTACCGTCTGCAATTCCCATATTTACTAACAACTAAAATATAGTCAATACAAATAAATCTTATAAGTCATTGGAAACTGGAAACCCATCTCTACAATTGCTTTGTCAATGTTTCAGAAGACTATCAAAGAATGAATAAAAGGCATCCATTTATTTACATAGAAACTAATAAAAATAAAATATAAAAATTCCTATTCAAGCTACAGGCTAAAAGTAACATCCCGTAACTATCGACCAAACCAAATTCCTAAAGTATTTTTTTTCTTTTAAATATAGACAACACAGATTAATTATCACAGACAATCACTTTCCTTTTTTCTTCGCCTCTTTTAATGCTTCCATTTCTGTATTATACTTGTATGCTCTGCCTAATTGGTACAAATTTGTTAAAGCTACGAACACATTGACCGCAAATAAACTGTAGTTTTTAGGTATTATAACTAGAGAATATCGTGACCAGATCATGCCCGTGATCGCTAGTGACGCGCACTGGCGAATAGACAAGTTTTCGACTGGCCGATTCACGTCTCCCAATCCAGCTATCACCAAGCTCTGAAAGTGATTAAAGTGATGAGTCAAAACGATTCACTTTGTTATCTATATAATAACTGACTTCTATTTTAGACACATTGTTGGACTGCTCAGTACCTACATAATAGCATTTAATAACACATTGCAATTTATGTTATAACTTTCGTGAGACATCCTAAATTAATCATTATGTTTTTCGGCTTACTCACGTAATTATTTGACGAAGAATTCGACTAGTATCTGTTACTGACAGCAGCTGGTAATAGCGCCACTGGTCGCAGAATGCTGCTCATGAATATGAGCCTCTAGCATGGCTTAAAACTAGTTCCTCGTCAAATAATGACGTGAGTATCCCGAATAGCATAACAATTAACAATGCAATTTAATTCTTATCACAATACCATAAAGTCACACAATGGTTTATCACATGATTTGCATGTGACTTTGATGCTACGTCCGCATTACTTACCCATTTGCCTGCAGGTGCCCAGAAGAATATTGTTTTTGGTCCTGTAAAAAAACCAAGTGTAAATAAACATCTTTCATTTATAAATATACTTATAATAAATCTGTAGAGAGGTCATGTAACATTATTACTATTTCATAAAAAAGAATCAAAGAAATCAGTATAGAAAAACCGTACTTTTTATACCGATAATCTATATACACTAAAAAGCAAACTTAATTGTGCGGCTCGATCCCTAGACACAATTACTATTCTAAACGCAAATATAAGTTTGTTAGAATGTTAGGTTGCCCGCCAGTGAACCTTACGCTGTAACTGTAGTACTGTGTGAATGTTTATTACACATACTCAGTTATATCAAAACGGCTGAATAGACCAGGATGAAATTTGAAACAGAGGTATAGAAGATAGAAGGAGTAATAAACAGACTTTTAAGTTCCAGGAACGCGGGTGAAGCCAGTATCAAATACTAGCTTCTGACCGCGACTTCGTACGTGCAATCCTGTTTTCTCCTATTCCCGATTTTCAGATTTTTTTCTGTCTTATTATTATATTCGTTTCCTTCTTTCTAGCGACTACAAACAAACAAATCTGTTTTGACTTGTGTTCGAAAAACTATACGTTGCGTTCTGACCACTATCGCTATTTTCCTAACAATATTATTGCAAGAAACCCGGATCCTTCTCCTAATTATAACAAATAAAACGAAAAAAGAATTAGAATCGGTCCAGCCATTCACGCGTGATGCCGTGGCCAAGGGAAAAAAAATCATTTTTATATCTATACATAAATGTTATAGACCATATTTATAATTACCAGCTGGATGTTCCCACAATGGACGCATGCCACTAGGGACAAATCTGTCCACAATGCCGATAACCGCCTTGTATAGTTTTGACATATTTGCGGAATATTCAATTTATGATAGAGGTCCAAATATTCTATACATACGACGCGAAACGGAACTATGGAAAGGCAGATAGTTACGGTGTTACTCTGATTAAAGAAATTCACATGGCACCACAAATAAGAGCCAACCAAGGCAACGTTGAGCCCTGAAAAAGTTGGTCAGTTTGTTTTGTTATGATAACATAAACGTCATGAACTGTCAAAGTCATCGACGACACAACTGTCATTTTTATCAAACAATGTGACCAGTGTGGAATTGACCTTTGAGTATGAATTCTGATGTGTGCAATCAACGTTCCAACGTTCAAAAATGCCACTTAAAAACGATTAAAGCAAGAAAATGTTATATAGTGTTTTTTTTGTGTGCTTATGTAATACAACGTTACCAGGGCCTCTAGCCAAATGCCACTTTAGCGCTTGTCTACAGAGAGAGTAGAAATCAAAATGTATGGGGATGACACTGACAAGTGTCAAAATTTACGTCAATTCCATATAATTTGGTTTTCTATTCTACATGTAGACAAGCGCTAAGTGGCATTTGGCTACAGCTGCTGACTTGAGAAAGTGACAGATGTCCTTCGTGTCAATGTGTTTATGCTGTACGTGTAAGTGTATAGTAGCCAGGTGCCACAGTCGTTGTTTTAAAAGACTGTATTCGTTTTTTTCAACGTCCTTGTACTTTTTTAATTATTTCCTAAGGTCATTTAACATCCCAGAGATAATAGACCACCACGGACCCAATAGGGCTGATGCTGATACGGAGCCGCGGAGGACTTAACTGCTGGGGCTCCGGCTCGAAAGGCAAGAGTAGAAACGGGGTGGTTTTTAGCCAGTAAAAGTCTGACACTTCTTCCCGCCTCACCCAGGCGGGAGCAGTCATTCGATGATTTTCCCCCCTTAACATATGAATCCGAGGATGAATCAGTATTTACATGGCCGCGTACAGTTACAGTACGAGTGTATTGTTTTCAATAATATTTGGAAAATGTAAATGAAAATGAAATTTCACCTAACAATAATTACCGCTGAATTAGATTTCGTCTATGTCAACATGGGGGCTAAAACTGTTTGATTTTTAACATACATCCTTCGACTCCACCATCTATCCAAAAACGCAAAAGCTCTAACATTACCTAGACTAGGCGTATAAATAATATCTCAAAACGCTTAACTTATCTCCATATTCACAACAGTCGCAAAAATAAGACAGTCCTCTGAGACCAGACTTCGAAAAACATCGTTACGTTACAAACGACTCGTACATTTAATATTCCATTTCTGTTACATAAAAAATATATCAGTTTTTCAACGTTATTTTTCTTACATCACATTGTATTACGGACCTAATTAAGACCCAGATGTGGAATGATTACATTTGCAAATAAGAATAATATAGAAACCAGTTTTAGTACCTACCTAATATCATCAATTATACAATGGTACGTTTAAAACGTCATTAGCTTGAGTGTTCAAAATATTCGGTTCTTGTATTTATCCATGTGTTGTTTACTATTGTTCCTGAGCACAACTTCAGCGCCACCTTACGGCTGCAACTCTATAGGCTATAGATCTTTCTCAAATAATATGTCAAAATCATAAATTCTCCTTGTCGATGGGTGCGTTATACAAAGATCTAATCAAAAATACTCGGTGTTTCATATTTATTATGTAACTTATTATGTTCTATATTTTTTCTTTTGGATCAGTTAGTTATCCAGCTTGGCAATTGTAACTTAGGCCGCTCGCCCACAAGCTACTTTTGTAGCGATGCCGTCGCGCGGTCACTGAAGTATTTTGTATGCACTTAACGACTATATCGATGCTAAGGCAACAGCATCGCTACAAAACTTATCCCGTAGGCGAGCGGCCTACCCGAGTGTACGGCGCGTCGCGTTCCGCGCGCGCCTCAAAGAGCCATCAGACCACCACAGATGGGGCCCAATAGGGCTAATGCCGATTCGGAGTCGCTGAGAACCTAACGGGTAACCGGGGCTCCGGGTCGACATGCAGGAGAAGGAACGGGGTGGTTTTTAGTCAGTAAGAGTCTGACACTTCCTCCTGCCTCACCCAGGCGGGAGCAGTCATTCGATGATTTTCCCCCGTAAAAAAAGGCGAGCGGCCTTAAAAACCTTACAAATAACAGGCGCGCTGTTGTTGTTGCTCTCTTACCTACCTACCAAAGAATATACGTGACTTAATATTAAAATAGTCGACTTATCAGATTATCGGCTTATTGGCTTACGGAATAAAACTGTTAGCTTTTCATTTTCATTTTTCGTAAACATTTTATTTATCAAAAACATTGGCTTTTATTTTAATATTAGTTAAAGTTTATGACTCGTGAATAAATGATAAATGCTCGGTGGGATAAACTGTAAAAATAGTACGGTAAACCACGTGTTTTACCGTACTATTGTTATGTATGCACGTGCATACACATGTATAATTGTACAATATGTCACGTTTCCGAGCCATATTTAAATTACATTAACTACAAGTATATTTATTGTTAAGAATAATCTCCAGTTCAACTGGACTGCGTGGTTGGTGCGAGGTTTGGGCAAGGGGTCGCGGGTTCAAAAAATATCTTATAAACTACCTACTTAGAAATAAAAAATTTACTTAAGCACAAAGCTATCAGCAAATCAGGTTGCTTTTCCCGAAACAGAAATGATAGAATCATTCCATAGTAAGATAATAAAAGGAGGAAAGTCGTTCTTATTGTTTCGAATTACAATTGCCTTGCGAAGATCAAACAACAATGCATAGAACTGCACAAGCCGTATCAATTCAATTGAAAAGCATACAACATCTTCAAACGATGTTCAATTGTTATTACAGATACTTTGATCTTGTAATAATAAGAAAACTATTTACTGTATGGGATGGGACTTTTATTTTGAAACTAGTTGAAAGCCACGGCTCTGCCGCGTATTCATAAAATAACACGCTTTGTGGCGACACACCCATTAATACTACCTATTAATTTTCAAACGACAACGGAATTAAGAATTATGTCCAGTGTTCAGTAATAGGCTCGCCCCTATTATAATGAAAATTGACTGTACTCTAAGTAAAACCTTTTTGCTTGACTATATAGGGATTTATTGGAGAGTACTACTATTTACACAAGTTTTCGTTGGAACAAAAAGTCAGGGGTGTGTTTACTTACGTCGTTCCTACAGATCATCTAGATTTATTGCCGTGGCTTTTACTGAGTGAGTCATTACTGCGAGCTAATTTGACTGTGTAAGGTTTTCGCAGTACCCGACTACAACAGCTGATTGCCGCACGATTACGACTTTTGTGCGGTTTACAAATTTTTGACCTGAGTCCTACTTTGTAGGGGGGAAGTCATCCAATGATTTCTCCCACACTGGGTGAGACTGTTACTGACTAAAAAACACTCTACCCCTGCTTCGAATCTTAAGTGGGATCTGTATGTACTCAGTGTTTTTGAAAACACACTCTCGACACTTACTCGACTGATCAATTACCAAATCCTTCTCAAAGTTATCCAGGAAGTGTATCTTATTTGCTTAACGACTATTCAAAGGTAGGCAAATACACAATCACCGATGAACATAATCTTAGCATACATTAAGATAATAAAGTGTAATTTTGTTTGAAATAATATTTAATAAGTTTTACTTTTTAGTTTTAAATACGCTATCTAACTCAAAAATAATTATTCCAATCAGACTTGTAGTTATGGAGATTAGCGCGTTCAAACAAACAAACAAAAACAAACTCTTTCGCTTTATATAATAGTATAAGATAAGATATATATACTCCCAAGAAATAAATGTATACAATAATGCGTATGTTGACTTATACAGCGCGTTGGTTGTATTACCCAATTCCAGTTTGCCGGAACGAAGATCAAAGCGAGTCACAATGTATTTTCTATTGTGTCTCCTACAGCGGCAGTCAAGAGGTTAATGGTCCATAAAAACAAACTCACAAAGGCATTTGATTGTATTATCATCTCACATTGCGTCTCAAACATTTGCATAATAAAATAAGTCCCGATATAATACAGGCTTGGCGGGAGATATGTTGCAATTAAGCTAATGTTGAAGCTTATTGTTACTGCTCTTGTTTTTCTTATTCTAAAGGCTGATTTTTCCAAAGCCAAAAAATGTTTATAGAAGATAGAATAATTATGAATATTTGGCATTATTTGCATTTTTAATATAAGAATTGTCTGTTGATTGCAAAATCAGCCCTAAATCAAAAATACTACAGTCAACAATAGGGTAATTTTTCGAACTGTCAAAAACGCAAAAGCTTTCTATGAATTTATTAAGAGGTTGTGTATTGTGATGTCACATTTTTTTACCGTCATGTAGCATACTTATTCTTCAAAATTTGCTGGAAAAGTACTAAAATTGAGTTGGTCATGAAATCAATTATTGAAAGTGTGATTATTATTAATATTTTATTGTATTGAATAGTTGACATAATTTATTTTTGATTAAAGGAAAGCACTCAATCATATTGAAATCCTACACAAGGTTACAGATTAAGTCAATCTAGATTTACACTAGACATCATTTCTGACGGATACCACTGTATCGGGATCCTCCCTTTCATGCAAAATCATACCGTGCGTGTTTAAAAAAACAACGTTCTTTGTTCTCTAACGTATTCTTTTGCCTTTGTTACTAGATACCATAGATATCACATTGATTTGTATTTCGAATCCCTTTTGCTCTTTGACGATTCTGATTGGTCGGACAGAATAGACTAGAAAGGAGAATGGGAAACAAAACGTTTTAGTCCTTTTTTCTTATCGTTTTTTTTTCTTTCGGTTTGTCATAAAAATTAAATAATTTACTGGCTGCCACGTCTTTTGAACCATATCAAAAGGGAAAAGGTTTGTAATTGAAAATGGAACAGGAAAACAATGGCTTTTGTAATTTTCAGACGGAAGTACTTTAGAATTATGAAATTTTTCACCGGCGAATTAATGTACAATTGTCAGTTTTTATTTGTTGTCCAGTATTTTACGCTTTATTTCTTTCTGTATAAACATCCACCGGTTTTGTTTATGAGAAATTGAAAACAATTTTATGCTAAGCAAGCTAGTCATCAACCCAATTCTCAGAGGTAATATTTTTTTTTATTTTCGCAATGAAAATGAAAAAAT